AAAACTACGTTTTTCCAAATTTAGAAGTTACAGATTTTTAATTTTGTCCACCTAGATTTTGATTTGGAACCACAATGCGTTTGTCCTCTATCGAGCTTTCAGTAGACAGATAGAGGGACATTGCTAGATAAAAACTTTTTGAAGTGTTATTGAGATATCTTCAATTCTAATGAGTGACTTTCGACCCACCCTATTCTACAGCTTTTCATACCTTAAAATCGAAAAAAATGCAATAACTGTTTAAAGAATGAGCTAAGAAGTGCGAAAATTTGACTGCTAAAGAGACAGCGGAAAACATTCACTATAGGGAATATTAGTAAATAGTACTTTAAATACTTACTTTGTTGGCAGGGTTACGAGCGATTGGTATGTTGTTCTTTATGAGAGCACACCAATTACCTATTGAAACTTAAAAGTGTTACGCAACGTTTCTAGCATGATGACGTTTATGAAAGGATATTTTTTAGACAAATTTCTTTTGAAAAAATATCTTGTTAAAGTCATATCATTTAGGACTTTGATTCTAATTTGTAATTTATCAATAAATTTACAATACATATTTATAATTTTTATTTACCACTATTGTTATCTAAAATAATTGTGCCTTCATTTAGCGAACTCTCCTTCTACTTTAAATTTGCAAATGTTTGCCACAAAAAGATTACGCTACAAAGTGCTTGTGTGTCTTTACGCAGCAAATGGAAAGTATTATATTGCAAGGTTAAAAATCTACTTATACCTGATTTATATTATATTGTAAACGTTTTTTATTTCTCCAATACAAATTTTTCCACAATATTTATTTTTTCAACTTAAAATCAAATCCATTGAAACACCAGCCATAATCCAATAAATGTACGAGTATTTTAAAAGAAAGCGATTTGTGTGTGTGTAAGACAAGCAGTAAGTACCCTGTTCAATGTTTCTTAAGTGTCCCATTGAAATATTTCAACTTAAATGTGTGGTATGTACATATATATCGGCAAAGCCCCTCAGATAAACACAACTCAAGCACATGGTATCTAGAGCAGCACCAACCGTTAGAAAACCACATACATAGATCGTGTATCTACACACGCATACACAAACAAATTGATTGGACTAGTTGAGTTGTATTAAAACTTAATCCCAGAAGGATGTAATATATTTAGTAAATCTAATAACTAGGATTTTCCCACAATTATGGTTATGGGCAATTTTATGAGCTACACTTAGTTAGAGCAGTCTATACAGGTAGGTAGTCACAAGATACACGAGAACTTTAGTAAGATCTATGAAATATGTAGCACAAGTCTTTGTGTTACCTGTTACGTGCTATGAAGGGTAAGAAATTGCTGATTAGCACCTGTTTAGTAACTAAAATGAGACATTAATACAAGTTTAAGTATAAAACTACAAAGTAAATCACGGACAATAGACATTCACTCTACTACCAGCGAACAAGTAAAACCTAAAGGAGTTTGTAGTAAAATGACCGAAGTAATGCAACATCCTGTGGTAAGTACAACACTTTTTATTTTAATTTTATAACACAAAATAAGTTATTAATTTATGATTTATTTTCTCTGCAGAATATACGCAAAAGACGCATTATGGAAGCTTTAAAAGAGGATATCATCTTGGAAGATTCAAAAGATGATTCTTTTGAGAAAACTCTTATGCTTTTGGATTTATTCCCAATCAAAAAGGAAACACCTTCAACAGAAGAGATTAAAAAGAAACTAGTCTCAACAGATAAAGATGATACGAAAATACTTGATATGAAACTAAAAGTTTTGGAAAATTGGGAAACCAGCAAACACGATTGCATAGAAAGAATGGTCAAAGACGTGGAAGAACTACAGCAGATGGAAGATGAAATCGAGAAATTGGAGGAGTTATTATTGTCACATGATATTGAAATAAACGAAGAGGATTTCGAAACATTTTATCAAAAGAAAATGGACGAAGAACCCATGTTAGAACCCCTCGATCCACTTAAACCAATGGATTTACCTAACGATTTGCAACCACAAACTCCTAAGCGCCAAGAACAACAAAACAAAAGAATTAAAATATCAGCCACCTCTACACCTATTAGCAGAAAACCTACAAAAACTGAAATTGTTGACAAATTTGAGGCCAATGAATATGGTATGGTAGTGATAGGACCGAACGGCACTATGATTTCGAAAACAGCTTTACAGGCCATCAACTGGTCCTTGTCAGGCGCTGCTCTTACCCGCAAAATCCTAATGGAAGTCTTTGGTCGTGAAACTTTAGCTTTTCATACTTTGACTGGCAAACCTTCACCCGCCTTTATGGATTGCGATAAGCCCATGAAAAATCAACTAGATCCTTTGAAAGTGGCCGATATAATACATTTGGTAATGGAACACACTCAGCTAACTGCAAAGGAGGTGAGAAATGCCATCACCACCAAGTGTGCGGATGAGAACAAAATGTTTAGACAACGTGAGAAAAAACGACAAAATGCCGCTTTAAAGTTACAGCAACAGGAAGATAATTGAAATATTTTCACTTATCCAAAAACATCATTTGTAAATAATTTCTCCAATATTGTTTGTGTTATAAACTATCGTCTCTCATTCTAATTGTATTTACCAGTGTAGTATTTTAAGAAAATAATCTAAGATTAATAAAGTTTAGGAACCAAGTAATTTTGCAATTTTAAATATTGTATTATATTATTTTTATTTTCTAAGCTTAAACTAAACTTTAAACTAATTCAAGGGATATTGGGATTTTTGAAAATTAAGTAAACTCTTAACAAGTGAGGATGTTATATTCGGCAGTGCCGAATCTCATATACCCATCATCAAACCGTATGCTTTAAAAGGAATGCTCCCTATAAACATCAGGGTGATATTTGAAAATTAAGTTAACTCTTAACAAGTGAGGATGTTATATTCGGCAGTGCCGAATCGCATATACCCATCATCAAACCGTATGCTTTAAAAGGAATGCTCCCTATAAACATCAGGGTGATATTACTCATCAAATTAACTGAAAAGGACCTTATATGAGAGATAGGGTTAATTATTTCATAAAATTTTTTTAGACCAATTTTTCCCGACCCTTGCCGCATGAAATTCGGTAGGATAGTGATATTTTTTAAAATTTTGACGGACCAAATTTAATTTAAGTAATCTTTAAATACAAATACGAAAAATCAACATGCAGAAAAAACCGACACTGGTAAAGCAGAAAAAACCGGTTGAAAAACCGAGTCGATCACCTTAGTCAGCAATGATCGTTAAAGTAATTTTCTTATGGACCGATCCGATCTTCAATACATTTGGTAGAGAGATTTTAACTCGTATAAACCATATGAGTGTGGAATTTTATCGCTTTACTCGTATTTCTAAGCCATTAATAATCGTTTAAGTAATTTTTAAAGGAGACCTTATATGGGGAGTAGGTCCAATTATGGACCAATCCACATAAAGTTTGATAGAGAGATTTTTGGGCTTCATTGAAACTAATGTGTGTTGCATTTCATCACTCGTATATTTAAGCCAGTAATGAGCGTTAAAGTAATTTTCTGAAGGGGACCTTATATGGGGAGTAGGGTCCATTATAGACCGATCAATATAAAATTTAGTAGAGAGGTTTTGGATCACAAGAGACTTACTTATGTCAAATTTCATTGTTATACTAGTATTTTTAAGCCAGTAAGGAGTGTTAAACTAATTTTTTAAAGGGGACCCTTTGTGGGGGGTAGGGTCAACTATGGACTGATCCACATAAAACTTGATATGGCTTCAGTGAAACTTATGTGTGTCGAATTTCATCACTATACTCGTATTTTTAATCCAGTCATGAGCGTTAAAGTCATTTTCTGAAGGGACCTTATATGGGGGTTAGGGTCAATTATGGACCGATCATCATTAACTTTTGTAGGGAGATTTTGGATCATATGAGACTTATTTATGTCGAATTTCATCGCAATACTCGCACTTTTGAAACAGACATGCCCGTTAAACCTATTTTTCGGGGGTACACTTGTATGGGGGCTATCCGAAAACATGGACCGATATTACCTATTTTCAATACCAAGCAAACTTTATCTATGGAGAATATTTGTGGAAAATTTCAATCCTCTAGCTCATTTCGTTCGGACTCTATTGTGCTTTCAACAGACAGTCATACAGACGGACGGACAGACATGGCTAAATCGTCGTAGAATTTAATAAGGACCCAGAATACTTTTGCGGATCTATGAACAATATTTCGATGTGTTACAAACGGAATGATAAAATCAATATACCCCACATCTTTTTTATGGTGGGTATAAAAAAACGATGGTATACATTTGAGTGTCTCAGCATAGGACAGATCAATGAGGTTCTGATTAAATCTTGGTATCAGAAAAAATTTTATGTAAAGTTAGTGACGTTTACAAGTGGAGAAAGGATGTACATATGGGCTTGAATAAATTATATATAGAAAGTTCTTTAGACGCAAAAAAGTAATATATTCAATAGGAGATATCATTTGAAAGGGCGTATAACGGTGTACAAAACCGTGCAAAATTGTACTGCAATTTCGAACCTTTGGTAAAGACGATGTAGTCATGTCCGTACGTCCGCCCATCTATCGGCCATCACGGCCTAATCTAAAGAGTTGATGTTTAGCCTAAATATTCTTTATTGATAGACACTGTTGATATTGAAAATGGAATATATGGGTCCAAGTCTTAAAATAGCCACCATATAAGTGATCCCCCATGGAATACAAATTAAATACATAGTCACAAATACATTAATTAGGTATAAATTGTGATGAAATTTGACACAAATTAGTTAATTTTTATTTTACCCTTCCATTTATGTATGTAAGTGGCTCTTTAGAAAATAAGTTTAAAATTTAAACATGTTTAGAAATAGCGGGGTTCATAATTGACCCAATCTCTCATTAAAGTTCTTATTACAAAAATTACCCATGATAATAATCAATTTATGTATAACCCCAATATGTAAAGAAAATAGTTTACGTACCCAATAGAGACTTTCTCTTACGATGATGATCGGCATTAATAAAGACTTTTTGTGTTTCTAAATTTTGAGTTTTTAAACTCGCCCTTTTAGGTTTCAATGTCACTATATATTTAGTGGGTTTTGTTGTGCTTAATAAAATATTTCTGAAAAAAAAAAAAAAAAATTTTTAAAGCATTAAGTTTAAGAAGAATAAATAATTCCTAGCATGTGCGATGTAGTGTGTAGTGTGTCAATGCAAAAGTGTATTGGCACACCAAGATTTTCAGGAGTAATTTGACTATAAATATGTTTCTCCTTAAAATAAAAATATATTTGGTGTTGAATGGTCAATAAATAGATCAATCTACAAAATAAAATAAACAACCTACAGATCATATGTACATATGTAAATATGTATCTTAGAAGAATGTATGCATGTATCTTCAAAAGAAACACAATTAACTATTCATAGAACACTCAGAAAATAGTGGTGTGTCAAAAATAGTTTGGTACACTGTATCTACACACGTACTCACTTTAATCCATGCAGGTGCTTCAAATTTTTAGGTATTTCATTTGGCATAATTATCCGCGATTTAGAATTCATTATATAAATAACATTTCACTTTGCATTGATTTTACTCTCATTACTTCTTTTAATGTTTGCACAAATTAAAATTTTGTAAATTTTTATTGGTTTTTATAATATTTTGAAACATTAAATTATTAAAAATTAACAAGTCTGTCATTATTTAAAAAAGTGTTATAAATTGATATTTTTTGTAAAATAATTGGGAAAGAATCCCAAAATAGGTGTTGTATACTTATTTCGATGCTGAAAGTACTGAATTTATAAAATTTAAAATAATACATGATGTATTATTTAAAATTCAGTGTGAATGATTATTTCAGTAAAGGTATTTTCAGACTACAATACTGAGTATTAACACACTTCAAATTAAAAATATTATGAAAATAATTCGCATTTTCAAAAAATCAATCCGAAAAATACATTTTATGTTTACACTATAATATTTGTAATATTTTTTATCCAATTTTCAATTATTTATGCACTTTTCGTTCTTATTTTTAATGTATTTTACACTTTTTGTTTGTTTTTTATTGTATTTATAAAATACATACCGAATACGTTTGAAAATAAAAAGTTTTTGAATTGTTTTAAAAAATTTATGAATACCGACCGTATGCCAAAAAAATCAGTAATATTTTTGAAAATAAAATTACAAATTATATTTAGACTAGTAAATTGTATTATGATACAAACATTTTTGACAAGTATTAATACTCAGTATTGTAGTCTGAAAATACCTTAAGTAAGAGACTTTAATATGAAGGAGTGTATGTCCATAATCAGCACTCCCTGTAATCTAAATACATTCAAAAACTTAATCAGTATGTGGAGAGATGACCACCAATAGATTTCATGTTCAACATTTTCGCAAATATTTGAACAATATTACAGCAACTTCATCATCTATATTTACTTAATTGTAATATTGTCCCGTCTTTATTATCTTAAATATTTATTGCTTTATTTAACCAAACTATTTAAATTCTATATGATTATAATTCTAAAACTAAAAGAATTTCCTGCTGATGTTTGCACCTTTTCAACATCAATTTCATCTGTCAACTTCAAACAATTTCAATTTTGAAAAACATTAAATTGCTGGTTTCAGCAAATTGTACAATTGCAAACATTTGACTTTGAATTCACATTTAGGAAACTTTGTCATTTCAATTAGAGAAAAAGCAAAATAGTCATATGATGAAGAAAACTAAAATCCATTCTTGCAACAAAATCTCAACTGAAAAGCTAAAAGGTGTTTACTGCACTCAACTCACGAAGAACACTTAACAATAAAAGAAAATCACTAATAGGCGAGGGGGGAGACACTGAATGAATATGCTAGCAACAATTCTGTATTGTAGTCTTAATGCCAACAACAGTAACAACGACATTATCAACAAAACAATTGCATCTCAAATACAAACAAGCCAAGAATGGATACAATTCATAGATGTACAACATGGCACTGGATAAACACAGATACGAATAACAACTACACAAACACACTGCAATTTAACCAAAGATATACCGCCACCTTGCCATTTTTTACATATGTAGAGAACCTGAACATGTTGCTTAATACTAACAACATATTGTTGTTGTCACATTGTTGCTATTATTGTTATTTCTTGTTTCGCTGTTGATACAGGATTTCAGGTAGTTGCATATAAGCAACTGCTACATGTATTGTGGTAAGTATCTTTTGGGTGAATGTCTGTTCTACTCGCATTGCATCTAAAAGTATCTTTTCAATGGTATTGTAACTTTTATTTTTCACAACTTGTCGTTAAGAAATTGAATATTGCATGTGAAAGAAAGTGTGTTTGTATTCTTAAAATGCATGTTGTTCACTTTTTCACTTAAATTCCATTTGTGTTTTATTTTATTCGAGCATGTTCTCACTTGTCCTTATGTTTGTAACAACATCTGTTGTTGAACTCGGGGAAATCCCGAGAATTTAAATTTGCAGAGAATTACATATTAACGAAAGTTGTCCTACTTAATATAAATAGTTTGGCATTAAGATAAAATCCAAAATTTCCATAAATAATTGATCCAAGTCAAGTCCCTACATAGTACCATTTTCCAAAAATAAAGTTTTAATATCGGTATTGCTATAAATTGCAATTATATCAGGTCTTCTTCGATATTTGTGATTAACAAAAAATGTCTGTCTATCCCATCTAGGTCTTGTGAAGTATATCGGAGCAGGGATTTCATATGCATACATATGTTGATTGAAAACTTTTTTTTGTATTTAGTCTAAACTTTACTAGGAAATGTGCCTGCCAAACATCAGATTTATAGATCCTTTATTTTTGACCATTTCGGATCTTAGCTTATTTAAGGACGATGGACTAATTTTTGGACATCCTCTTTAACATTTAAAGTTCTTTTTAATACCGAACATTTCTTAAAATTTCTTTTTTCTGGGGTCTATGGAAAGTTCTAGTTCAGTTCTAATTCAGTTCTAGTTCAGTTCTTAACTAGTTCGGTTCTAGTTCAGTTCTAGTTCAGTTCTAGTTCAGTTCTAGTTCAGTTCTAGTTCAGTTCTAGTTCAGTTCTAGTTCAGTTCTAGTTCAGTTCTAGTTCAGTTCTAGTTCAGTTCTAGTTCAGTTCTAGTTCAGTTCTAGTTCAGTTCTAGTTCAGTTCTAGTTCAGTTCTAGTTCAGTTCTAGTTCAGTTCTAGTTCAGTTCTAGTTCAGTTCTAGTTCAGTTCTAGTTCAGTTCTAGTTCAGTTCAGTTCTTATTCAGTTCCAGTTCAGTTCAGTTTTAGATCAGTTCTAGCACAGTTCTAGGTATTTCTAGTTCAGTTCTAGTTCAGTAGGGCATTCGGGATTCACCACATCAGATAATATCAAGTATAACGTTTTGTTTTTATTTATATATAAAACATTTCTTTAATACATACCAATATCGTAGAATAATACATTCTGTCAAGTGGTTTGTAAAAAGCTACTGATATTTTATTGCATTAGATGAACAAAAAGAGAAAAATAGTAAAGTTCTTTAAGCATTTATTTGATGAAAAGTAAATATTGTTCCCTCTTACTGCAATTTAGAATAAATACATTTTTATGTGGAATTTCTTATACAGCATAAAAGTCATGTGAGTATAAAGTAAATTTAATCGAATATTCTTTTTGAAAAAAAGAAGCGCTAAGATTTACAATTTTTATTTTGAAAAATATTACACATTTTTGTATTGCAATATGGTCAAAAAATATTAGTTTATTTCAATTTATTTTAAATCATACAATCACTTAAAGAATCCAATATCATTTGGAAATGAACTTAAAAATATAAATTTTCTGAGGGACCTTTATTATGATAGCCAGATTAAAAATGGCTTGATTGCCATATAAAATAAAATAATTTTTGGTACACCTAAAATTAACTGTTTCAAAATTTCTTATTATTATGCATAAATAAAATACATATGTATGTATGTACGTAGTGATGGCAGGAGGAGGATTGGTGAAATATTTTTTAATACTAAACAAGATGCTCGAATACAAACAGACACATTGACGGACGGATATGGCTATATTGTCTTTGAGTCCTGAAATGACATATATTTTTCTACTGTTTGTTATGTGATAAAATACATATCCAATTAAACACATTTAAAGTTCATGTATATTTAATTAATAATATCAGCAAGAAAATTAATACAGCTTAGTACAATGTATTGTTTTGATCATACTCCTACAATACTAAAGTGACAAATACACGTTCTACCATCAGCACCAATACCACCACTTTCAACAGCAACAAAAGCATTAACTATAACTATAACACCAAAGAAAATTGAATTTCGATTGATTGCTTTCATAGTTGACGACATCGACATCAATAAATCAAGTTGGTGACTTGTATGTTGTAGCATTATATTTGCTGCAATAACCGAAAAAGAAATGAAATAAAATTGAAAAGAAAAATATAAAAATATAAAAATGTTGCTGAATCGCACACAATCATCACAGATATATCCACTTATACACATCCATATGAATACAATACATTCAAGTTTATATTATTTTGTTTGCACAATTCATGATCTGAAGTGTATTGCTAAAGTGCATATATGGTGTTGAGTATTTCCCGATTTAAGTAACAAAAATATCAAATATTGCTGTTTTTTCCAAAATAACTCACATCCATACACACATACTACGTACATACATGTAGCATATAGTGCAGTATATTCATTCTTTCTTCCTTTTTTGTGTTTTTTATTATTCATACACAAAGAATTTTTATCATATGTATGTATGTATATTGGGGAACTTAAATGAAGAAAGATTTTATTTTCATTTTGATTCACTTTGGAAATAAAAGATTTCATTATGTTTTAATCAATTCTTAAATTGTTTGGTAGCATGTGTGTATTAAAATTTTCATCTATTAGCTCCAATCGCGTCTTAAATTTTAATCTGGACGTTTTTGGAACTAAAACTAATTTAATAAATTTTTATCATTTTTTACGCCAGGCATTTTTGATTCTTATTTGTGACACTTTTAATCCACAAAATGACTATAAGTTTATCATATAACTTTTTTTTCGAAATTGTAGTCAGAATCTGCAAATTTTGTAGGTGTTACTTTTTTTCTAAAAAGATGGTCTAAGACATTTAGCAATGGCCGTCTGTCTATCCGCCTGTCTGTTTGTTGACATAGTCCGAACAAGAAGAGCACAAATATTCTATATTAGTGGTTTCGGTCTGGTTTGGAGTACTTTGATTGAACAAGTGGACTCTTTACGTACAGATTTATATACCCCTCAAATTTTAAAATATTCGGTTCGGCGATTCAAGTGTAATTGGCAAAAATTAAATACTACGGCGCCATCTGATAGAAATGTTTAAAACTTAGCAGGAATTTTTCATGATTTATTGAATGTATATTTAAAGTTTTGTCCCATTAGTTTTGGATTTATCGATTAAGAACAAACATATGAGGATCGGTGATCAATTGATTTTGCTACCACGATTTATTCCTTATTGAAATTGGACCGATCCGTATAAAATTTTACAATGATATTAAAGCTCCTATAAAATATATTTACTTCGAATTACATCGCTATAGATGCTTCTTTAAGGCAGTTATGAGCATTAAAGTCATTTTCTGAAGGGAACCTTATATGGGGGGTAG